TTGTTTCATATCTAAAGCTCTTTTGACTTTTGTAATAATTTCTAAACGACGACGACGGTGAGAAAGTTTAATTAAAACACAAAGAGTTGATGAAAAGCTTATTTCTCTCTTTTGTACGACATGTGATGTTTGATACAATAACTTCAAAGCACTTAAATTTAATATTATTACTATTATTGTGTTGCTGGAAAACTCTAATCACCATCAGGACTAGCCCCAGGCTTTTTCAGAGTAGGACATTGTCAACATCTGCTTTAGGACGCAAAGCTTTATTAAATTAAAGCCTTTGTACACAAGTTGTTTGTAATGCGAATAGAATTTTAAATTTTATCGAATCTTTAAAAACCAAATTAAATTTTAATCAAATGGTACTAAAAGTAGTATACGAAATATATTTTTTAACACTCATTTACTTATAATGAAAAATAAACATAAGCTTTACGCCTCTAGCTAAATAGTTAATAACGATTCTATTACAGAGCAAAGCTAAAATTTATATTTCTGTCAAATATTGTAGAAGCTTTTAGTGTAAACATTTGTCTGTCATTGGGGTTAATTAGGTCCGTTTTTCATTGTGACAGTATATCGGTAATATATGAGTACATTAAAATTATCACTAAAATTAAAGTTTGATGTCGAACTAAATCAATTTTTCCCGGCGCCATGAAAAGTTCCGGGTTGATAAAAGTTTTTCAGGTGACGAAATAAGGTGTAAGTGTACTGATATATTTGAGAAGAGTGTTTTGAAATTTATACACTTTGTAAGATATCTAATATTCGTAAAGTTTATAATGACTTAAACTTTTTCAATCGATACCAATATTTTATGTCCGTGCGTCGTATTTTTCACCATGGAAACTTTCTCGCCTTGAATGTAATTACATCCATTAGAAAGGTTTTGGAAATTATCGAGCCGACCTTTCGTGATCATGGGAAAAGAAAACATGTATGATGTAGGAAGCCATTTTACGAGATGCGGGTTACAGAGGGTAACATCAATTTTCTTCCCGAATCTGTCTATAACTCAGCGCTACATTATTGTAGGCAAGGGAATCCGCTGTAATTGATCACGCATTCAGAACAGCCTCTCGGGATTGTATGTTTTAGGGAAATGACATTTTAATGGGAATACAAAACATACGGAAAGTATACATTATATGCATGAAAAGTTCCTAAATCAAATTTTTGTTGCGAAAATTTTTTAAATATTCACCCCATTTTACCGGTTAAACAACGATAATTCAATGTGTCTTACTGCAGATTTACTTTTTGTACATGGATTCTACCTAAACAAAATGGGGAAAGGTATCATAAATTTTGAATGGGAGGGCTCACACTGATGACGGGGATTTCGGCTTCCTGGTGTGATCTTTAAACGATTTGATAACCGGATCTAAGAAGCCAGAGATAATGGAGTTTTGCTGTTTGCAACGCACAAATTAATACTACAACGAAACAAAAACACAAATATATTTTTTTTGATTTTAGAATTTTCGTGCTTAAGAAACATTATAAATAATGTCGATGATTACAAAAAGTTTTATTTGTTTGTTCATTACTAAGTGATTTAGTTCCAAACTCGTCGAAATTCGCTCACTGAAATAATTAATTACAAGCCTCGCAATTCAAAATTGATGCTAGGGAAAAGGTATGGTAAATATGTAATGAAAGTCCTTCGGTTCATATAGAAGACAAGAGACAGCTTTGTCTCGAAGAGTTACAGTGTTTCAAAGTCCTCTGTCATTGCAGGAAGCTTGTTAGTTTTCAGACAATACTTTTGAATTATTAATGAGAGCAAGGTAATTATAAAGCTCTCGCAGCCGAGTTAAGTCTCACCCTCTCAGTGTTTTTGTCTGGTAAGTGATGAATTTTGCAGATTTCTTCCCTTTAGCTCTTCGATCAGAATTCGGTTTCTTTAGTGATTGTTAACCAAGTTGGTAAATTTATTAACAGTACAGTAGGCTTAGCTGCAAAATCTCTCGTTATTTACGAGTGGATTTTCAAGCTTATAATGGAATATGTATGGCAATTTATTACAGTACAGCGCCCAAGTAAAACATATTTAATTACCTGTATAGTGTAATTTGTGTAGGTTGTGGTTCCATACATTGGATGAATATTTACATCTGCTCCCTATGTATGCACTCTACTAAATACCTATCCTGCGGACCGGAAGCAGCAACGACCACCAAACTGTTGAACTTAATGAATAGTTGGGACATTATCAGTGAAACTGAAACTAATTTCCGTTGTGTACACGCTTGTGTCACTGAACTGCACAACAAGGCTATTAAAATTAATTGCGCACGCTGGGAAGAAAACCCACGATTATTATCGCTATACTTGCTAAGATGCCGTATCATAAATATCAGTTAAATTTGAATCAGGGGGAGCAAACACCAGATCAGCACACTGAGATTTCGCTACTTGTGAGCAAAACTTTATAACCAGAGCTTTTCCACAAGGCAAACATCAAATAAATATTTGAAATACAATATGTGAAAACTGTTTTAAGTGTAATTATTTCAAATATTTAAGAAAATATAACAAATACTCTCGTAATTCGTTATTTTCTTCAATACCAACCATAATATTATTTGTTTACATACTAGTTTATCGTTACTAAAGCAAGAAATTTCTATAAAATTTAAGCTGTTTAAATCATTAAGCCGCTGCTTAATGGTGATCAATTTCAGTGATCACTTGTATGCGATGAATTTTGTGAAAATTTTTAATTTTATTATGTAAAAAGTTATTTGGGTAATTACTTTTAGTGTAAAGAGTTACTATTGTAAGTATGTAATATATTTTTAAAGGACAATAAAATGTTCTACAACAAAATAAATAAAGTATACATATAACAATTTAATAAAAATTTTCTGATAATAGTGAATGACCATTGAATGCCATACATTTTTTTGAAGTGACTTATTAACACTGATTACCTTGATTTCATGTCAGAGATAAAATAAAACACAACTACGTACAACATAATTATGTTTTCATAAAGACTTTAGTGCTTTAATAATGCATTCGAGTTCAACGAACTTCACAAATTATATCTTTGCATGTGCCAATTTGCCTGAAATTAATTTTATGCTTTGAATTGTTCCTTCTGGAAAAGAGTGTAATGTGAGGATTAAGATAGTACAAGAGGCGTGATTAATAAACAGTACAAAAAGATAAGAAAGTTTGCATTATTATGTTGCATGTCGCAAATCGACTAATACGTCATGTTCCTTTGGTATTTTTTCCTTTTCAATAGCAATCTTGGGAATTTATTGTTCTCAGCAATTGCGATCAGACGAAGGGTCAATATTATTTTTTCCGAATGGTCCCATAAATTTAACATATTACTCCCTTATCTTTTTAGATTAAGCAATTTTATGTTTTTGCCAAGTGTAGAAAGGAGATTAATTCACTTGCAAATCTCTAAATCTCATTCTTCAGTCTTGTCTGAATATTTGTTTGTCATTACAGGAAATTTATGTTGGAGGAACGACAGATGACATCCAATTATAACAGTGTCTCTTCATATTTACAGTCAATATTTCAGAATATTGTGTCACGCAAAACTTCAGACTTAATAAAAGTTTATTTGCTCAAGATGGGAAATGCGCAAGTATGAACAAACAGAAAGAAAAAGACTCAAAGTTTTCTTTTTATTTGTTTTGCTAACTATATATCTGTCTGTCTAATTTTGTAAAGGAGAAATAATTGAATCGTATTTAACTCTTTAATTGAAGGAAGAAAACTCCTATAAATTTAAGCGCGCTTTCATGCGTGATTAATTTCTTGTGAATACATTTTGTGGTTTGTCAGCAAGTAAAGAGATTTTATGTCCGTTCCGTATGCATTTTTATGACCGAAATGAGTCCTAAATTGTAATCAGCCTTTTAAAGTACATTAATTTCCGTTTAACAATTTGCAACTGAACGATTAACTTTTATGACTGTGTTCGCTTAGGAAAATTATCAAAGCAATTTTTTGGCCCATAAATTCCCAAACAAATTTTTATCATCAGAGTCTGAAGCTTGGTACACAAAAATCTAATAAAAGAATTAATTACACACCACTAAATTATTATCTCGCTAGCTGAAAATATGTAAACAGTTCGAAACTATAATAATACTACGAATTCCAATTAAATTCCACGAGTCGAGCAAAACTTTTTGGTTAAAGTTTACAAAACTCACGCGCTAATGTGCTTCATAAATCTTCATTAAGACAATAATATAAAGCAAATTAAAATTTGTGCGAATTTCTTTTAACCTTTTCGCACTTCATTCCTGCATAATCATTCATAATTATTTCCTCATCCTTATAAAAATTTTACTTTTCTCAAGGCTCCAGTAACGAGGTGATAATAGAGTCAGGGCAAAGCACGCTCTCCGGTAATGTTTCACGCGTCGAAATTTCCTTATTACCTTAAAAGAACAAAATATTGCAGGATTTACCTAAATGCGAAAAACGTGATATAATATGCAGGACTAGTGACTTATGAAGTGAACTCGTCCTGTTACCCGGATGTTCTCTAGACGTTGAGTTATCGTTCTTCGAAAATTCACTGGCAGATGGCGGTTCTCACGCTGCTCGTGTAGACACAGAGATTTGACTTACAAAGCAATGCTAATCCCATTTATATTATATTTGTCTAACCCGCGAGAAGAGAAATTTGCCGTTTCGTCACCTTCACATCATTTAACATATTGTTAAACTCGCAGACTCAAAAATTACGCAACGAAATCACCAACCAAACACTAATTCCATACACGAGGAGAATTTCAAGTTGGAATTTAACAAAGGAGCCGATACTTTTACTCACGCTGATTTATTATCCTTTAGACAGCAAGGCTTATTTGAAATTTTAATGATCATGTTCTCAAGACTAGTTTTTTAAATCATCACAAATTAAAAAGCATGTTTCGTAAAAATAATGACGCACTACGATATTTGTACTTACTTGAAAAATCAAAATGTGATAATATCTTTATTACAACGCTAACTCTACTTTTAATCAGACATTTGATATAAATGCAAGGGAGACTTGTCTCTCTTATTAACACAAAAATGTTTGAAAAAATATTGCTATTACTTTTTGTTGCTTTAGTTTCAGGTATTTAAAATTAATTGTTTTTAAACTGTGTTTTAAATTTGTTTAGGTGGTACTCCACCGCGATTTCGCCCTGATGGCCGAATTATTGGAGGCGATGTAGCCACAATTGAAGACAATCCTTGGCAAGTCTCGTTGGAAGCTTTTGGTATTCACAATTGCGGTGGTTCTATTATTTCCCCAAATACGATTATAACAGCAGCTCATTGCATTGATGGGTACTTAAACTCTAATATCAGAATTTTTCTTACCTTTTTTATTTTCAGCGTAATTTCGCTCTTCTACGAAGTCGTTTCAGGAACTGCCGATTTGCTCCAAAACACGACTCGAAGCAAAGTTAAAGAAGCAATTGTACATGAAAACTACGATAATTTAAGCCACGATGTTGCTCTCATTATTGTAAGTTTCACAAGGATGCATTTTTTGGTTTAAAATTGTGATTACTTGTAGTTAACAGAAAACTTGACATTTAGTGACACCACTCAAGCAGTTCCTCTCGCAAACGAAGAACCATCAGATGGTGATAACGTCACTGTTTCTGGTTGGGGTATTTTAAATGTACGAAGAGTTAAAACTTGTTTATTCTATAAAATTAAACATTTTTATTCAGGAAGGTGATATTATAACTCCAAATATTCTCCATTCTGTCAATGTAACAATAGTGGGCCGTGACGAATGTACTTTGGATTATTCAAACATTGATGGTGCTTACATTGATGATACTATGGTCTGTGCTGGGGTTTCCGAAGGAGGCAAAGATGCCTGTTCTGGGGATTCAGGAGGTCCTTTGATAAAAAACGGGGTTTTAGTTGGGATAGTTTCATGGGGACTGGGGTGCGCACTTCCTGAATATCCTGGAGTTTATACAAATGTGGCTTCGGTAAGGGAATGGATAAGGAACAAAACTGGAATATAATTGTACGCAATAAATAAATAAAAACTATTATACGTAGTTGTTTGATTTTTACGTCATTTTATCAAAGTAAATATACTTAAATTGTTTTTGCGAATTCATATTTAGATAAAAGTCAAGATTTTATGAAGACACAATGTTTCTTGTACCTGGTTTGGCACTGTTTTTAATTACTGTTATTGCTTTTAGTAAGTAAATATTTCCTTATTAATAATTAATTATGTTTTACAGCAGCAGCTGTGTCATGAGTAAAAAAAATTATCTTATTTATTTATTGATAAAGTCCATAAGTTTGAGACAATACTTAAGTAGTTATAGATAAAATCTCAAAAACAAAATTTAAAACCAGGACAATTTTTTACACTTATGATTTTGAAAGACTGAGAATTTGACACTTGAACAAATGATAACATTTTATTTAACAACAATATTATCGCATTTACCAAATAATTTTTTTATTACAATTTATAAGGTCAGTTTCTTAGGTTTTGTGTGTGTAGTGTCGTCACTAGAAAAAATAAATGTGAGTAACCAAACAATAAACGATAATAATATTTCATCTCAATTTAATTTCTTCGTGGTCATTTACTCACATCTGTTTAGTTTCAGGGGCCCCTTCTATAAACACACGTATAATTGGGGGAACCCCTGCTGATATAAATAATGTTCCTTACCAAGTTTCTCTGCAAAACATCGATGGGCATTTTTGTGGCGGCTCTATAATTCACAAATCTTACATTTTAACAGCCGCTCATTGTTTGGATGAGTACGCAAGAATATTATTTGAACTAAACACAATTTAGACATTTTTATAGCCAACCTGTTAGGGGAATTAAAGTTAGAGCTGGAAGTAATTTTTTGAACAAAGGAGGAATTATTCGACGTGTTTGTGGTGCTCAAAAACATCCGCTTTATAAAAATTGTGAAGAAAATTGTGATTACGATATTGCCATTTTAAAAGTAAATATTGAACAATTGGTTAAAAAATTGTTAAATATTTTTGCAGCTTTGTGACGATTTGATTTTCAATCAAAATGTTTCCACAATTGCGTTGCCACAATTTAGGGAAGTTGTTAAAGACGGAACTTCAGTTTCAGTCACCGGATGGGGAATTACAAAAGTAATCTTTGAAGTCACTTTAATGGTTTTTATTTTGTATTTTTTAGGAAACCGATGTATATCTTTCACCCTTGCTACAGAAAGCTTCTCTCATAATTGTTAAACAAAGGATTTGTCGTAAAATTATAAAAAGCGGATTTATTACCAATCGCATGCTTTGTGCTGGTTGTAAAGTAGGTTTATGCGATGCATGTCTAAGAGATTCTGGAGGACCGTTAGTTGTTGATAATAAAATAGTAGGGATTGTATCGTGGGGTGAAGGATGTGCTTGGAAAGGATATCCAGGAGTTTATACTCAAACTTCAAAGTTTACAAAATGGATTAATAGCAAAACTAATCAATAAAGTAATTGTTTAATTTTTATGGTGTATTTAATTTAATTTAAAACATTAAACGTAGGTATAATATAAACAGCATAAAATCTTTTTTTTTACTAAAATTGGATTTCTAAACTTACTAAAATATTATGCTTTAAAATCATTAGCATAGAATAAGCAGAATTAAGATAAACTTCATTAAGAAATTTAAAAAATTATTATGTTTTTATATCATTTTCCGAAAACATGCAAAACCACCAATAAATCAAGTGCTTCATTTATGTTTCAAAAAATATTTACAATTAGGTCGTCGAGTATCCTGAAAGTAATTTAAAATACTTATTTATTTAGACCAATTTGATTTATACTTGGTGTTTCTTATTAATAAGGACGTAAGTAAACGAAATTCAATAATAAAGTACATATTTACATTTTTTGCTGTTCCAATTTATTTGTCACGTATTATATTAGAACGTGAGTTACGCATTTCATTTATTACTATAGTTTTGCTTAAATACGGTTTATTCTTTTTAAGTGAGTATAAATTTTGAACATTTGTGGAGCCAAAAGTGAACATTTTATAAGTACAAAATGTTGTTCTCACCTGGTTTAGCTCTTCTTTTCTTCACAGTTACCACTTACAGTAAGTAAAAATTTATCGACAATCTTATGAGACAGAAGTTACCGACAATAAAAAAATTAAAATAAATTTAACGATGATTTTTTGTAATGTAATAATGTTTTTTTTTAACTAACACTTGTTTAGTTTCAGCGACTCCGCCTTTTGGACCACGTATTTTTTTGGGAACTCCTGCTCGCACAGTTAATCCATATCAAGTTTCTCTGCAATATATGGATCAACATTTTTGTAGCGGTGCAATAATTCACAAATCTTACATTTTAACAGCTGCCCATTGTTTAACAAAGTGAGAATACACAGAACTGAAATAATATAGTTGTGTATCTTTGTAGCATACGAGTAAATATAGCTCAAATAGTAATTAGAGCTGGAAGCATATTTTTACACGAGGGAGGAAGTCTTCGACAAGTCTGTGATGGAGAAATACATCCTTTTTACTTTGAATCTGCAGAATATGATAACGACATTGCCATTTTAAAAGTCTGTAATTTATTTTAAGTATACAATTAGATAATTGTTTAATTGGTTTATAGCTTTGTGACGACTTGACTTTCAATGAAAACATTTCTGCGATAGCTCTGCCACGGAATGAGGAAATTATAAATGATGGAACAGTAGGATTAGTAGCCGGATGGGGAACAACAGAAGTATGAATATCAAAATAATTGCTTATTTTCATTTATTTTTTTTAGAAACAAGATACATCACCTATTCTTCGATATACTAAATTTGTTACTCTTAATCAGGAAACTTGTCGCCAATACTGGACAAGTAAAGGTGGTGACAATATTACAAGTAATATGTTTTGTATTACTTGTGCAGAAAATTATTTATGTAGTCCATGTCCAGGAGATTCTGGTGGACCATTTGTTGTTGACAATAAAGTAATAGGAATAGCGTCATTAGCATCATATTGTAGCGACTATAGACTCTTATACGCATCAGTTTTTACTAAAGTTTCAATGTTTATAGAATGGATTGAATGCATCATTAATTCTTAAGTCCCGTTTAGAGACAGTTGTGTAACATGTATAGATATACATATACAGATATTATTGATAAACAATATTTTTACTAGATAACAATACAATACCACACTTTTGTTTGTTCCAACTTAAATTTTTGATTTGTCAACAAAGTGCATGACCAAGAAATCATTTATTATTAAATTTAATTTCGCAATAGTTATTAACGTTCGATTATTTCAATAACTTTTCATTTTGAAAACTGAATATTAAGAAAAAACTTTGTTAATAAAATAAGTAATATAGACAAAAATCTAGTCTTGTTGGCTCCTTACCTAAAAGACCTCAAATTCCTTTTTCTTCTTGAGAAGGAGAATTAGAAGATACAAAAGCAAGATTCTGTACAAATGGCATAATTTAATTTTTTATTTTTTAGTAGATGAAAGAGCATTAATTCATTACTGAAATGAATAGAAAGCATAATCAATTCTTATAATATTGCTTTAAAATATTTGTTTAATGTTCAATTATCTGTTTCCGTTGTTTATAAGATTAAGCCGAAAAAACAATTTAATATATATGTAGGTGATATGATAAGTGTGGCAGGTTAGTAGCTTCGCATTTGATTTATCAATTACTTGGTGCAAGTCGATTGTAAAATTTCAAGATTGCAATGATGCGTGTTTTGTTTCTGTTTTTCACAAGTCTGCTTGTTACGAGTAAGTAGTTAAATTGATTACATTAAAACATTGTGCTTGAATGAATTTAGTATTAATAAGAAAGCGTCTGTAATTTTTAAACTCTTGAAATACTAGGATGTAATAAATTACTAAATGTCTGAAAAATATATATTGAATGTCTATCAGCGTTCTAAAATTTTAACCAGATACCTAAGTATAGTTATACCTAACCACATCTACCAATGTTGAAATTTCTCCTGAATACAAGTGTCAAAACAAAACACTTAACTTACTTTAACATGAGTCATTGATTTCCGGTGTTTCAAACTATTGCAATAGTTGCGTTTATAAACGTTTTTTCTACAATATTTAATTTAATTATTAAAAACACTTCAAAATATTTGTTTCATGTTTCTGTCAAGTCGTGAATGCAGTGCGTGAAATGCCGTCAGTGTGTGAAGCGAGTACTTGACTCATTGTTTCGGTGTGTGAATTTGAACTTGACTTATCATGATTGTAGAAAAATAGTTTTTTAATTCACGAATTAAAAGATAACTTTTAAAAACTTTTAGACGGCCATGTTCAAGTTTTTAAGCCTAAGATCGATGTTCGAATCGTTGGTGGTCAGGCCACTACCATCGAAGAACACCCACATCAAGTTTCAATTATTTACATTGATAGTCACTACTGTGGTGGTTCCATTATCCACACTCGTTTTATTTTAACTGCTGCTCATTGCACCTACCAGTAAGTGCGATCTGTTATGAATTCGTTTTAAACTTTTTATTTCTATAGACTTTCAGCTGAAGAGTTGCTAGTTCGCGCCGGATCCACCATGGTAAACTCTGGCGGACAAGTCCGGGAAGTTGCCCAGATTTTCCAACACAAAGAATTTGATATTGATACTTACGACTATGATATTTCGCTACTAAAATTAGGCGAGAATTTGGTTTTAGGGAGTGGAGTTGCAGTGATTTCGCTCTCTGAGGATAGTACTGTTCCTGGAGACCTGTTGGGAACAGCTACTGGATGGGGGAGACTTTCAGAAAATGGCCCCCTTCCTGTAGAGCTGCAAGAAGTTGATTTGCCCACTATTCAAGATGATCTTTGTGAATTGATTTACGGAGATAGATTAACCGAAAGAATGTTTTGTGCGGGTTATCCCAAAGGACAAAAGGACACATGCCAGGTATGAAATTTTTTAAGTTGTACGATATTTTGATAAAATGTGTGTTGTAGGGCGATTCGGGAGGACCATACGAGTATAATCAAGTGTTATTAGGAATCACGTCATGGGGAGAAGGTTGTGGTGCCGCAAACAGTCCAGGAGTTTACACCAAAGTTTCTTATTTTATACAATATATAAATGACATTGTAAAAAATAACGATAATTGAAACAAAAAACAATAAACTATTCTTAGCAAGTGACAACTTGTTTCATTGCTAAATTAAACAAGAATGTTAAAATAAATAAAGCTCAAATTTAAACAAAATGTTTTTCAGTTATTTGTGGCAAAAATTTGAAAATGCCAACAACTTTTGATGTTCGTATTGTTGGTGGCCACGCCGTAGATATTGAAGATTATCCGTATCAAATATCAATTATGTATATTGACAGTCATTGCTGTGGTGGTTCTTTAATACAACCTAACGTTGTTTTAACAGTGGCTCATTGCGTCGATGGGTACTTTTTAGTTAAACAAAGATATGAAAAATTAATTTAGAATTTTTAGATTTAAACCAGAATGGCTCTTAGTAAGAGCCGGTTCAAGTTTTTTAAACCAAGGAGGAGAAGTAAAATTTGTGAGCAACATTTACAGTCACGATAATTATGATAATAAAACTTACAATAACGACATCGCTATACTGGAACTTTCTGAAAATTTTAGCATTGGACCAAACATCCAACTTATAAATTTGCCAAATAGAGAGGATGGAATTTTAGATGGTCAGATGGGTGCAGCCACGGGTTGGGGCCAAATTGTTGAAAATGGCCCTTTTCCTGTTGAACTACAAGAAATTGATTTACCTGTTATCAATACTGATGCGTGTAATATGTCTTATACAGGAATAATAACTGATAAAATGTTTTGTGCCGGATATATGACAGGAGGAATGGATGCATGCCAGGTAAATATACAGGGCTTTCATTACAAAAGGATCCAGTCTCAATAACTTTTGACATTGAATAAATGTATTTTCAAGCAAAAACAGGTCGATTAGGATCTCGAGGGGGAAGTTGAAAACCAACATTAGTTACATTTTAAGTTTCATCCCCTAGTCGCTAGCCACCCCTACTTTGAAATTTTAAATGGCACCCCCTACTTTTTAGAACGTTTTCGGAAAGAAAAAAAAATAGCGTACCTAAATGTCAAAGAAAAAAAAAATTTTCAGTTAGGGGTGGTTTAATTTTTGAAATTTTTAGTCCTAGTAGCCTTTGATTGAACTCAATTTTATTTAAATAAAAAATATGTCGATTTGGGTTGCGATGGGAGAGTTTAAAACCAACATTAAATACGTTTTAGGTTCCATCCCCTAGTCGCTATAGCCACCCCTACTTTAGAATTTTAAATGGCACCCCCTACTTTTTGAAACATTTTCAGAAAGGGAATAAATGAGCGTATCTAACTGTCAAAGAAATTTTTTTGTTGATTCGTTTTTCAGTTAGGGATGGTTTTATTTTTGAAATTTTCAGTCCTAGTAGCTTTTCATGAAACCCAATTTCATTTAAATAAAAAATATTTCGATTTGGATTGCGATGGGAGAATTCAAAACCAACATTAAATATGTTTTAGGTTCCATCCCCTAGTCAATAACCACCCTTATTTTAAAATTTTAAAGAGCCTCTCCAACTTTTTGAAACATTTTTGGAAAAGGTGGAAAAAAGCTTATCTAATCGTAAATGAAAAAAAGTATTTTGTCGATTCGTTTTTGAGTTAGGGGTAGTTTTATTTTAGAAATTTCCATCAGTCCTAGTAGCCATTAACTTTGATTTTGATTATGTGTCATCTAATACATTTTATTAAGAAGGCGGTGGTGTCAACAATTCAGGGAAAATTTACCATTTGACAATTCAATTAATTGAAAAATACTGTTATTTAAATTAAATTGAGTTGAATCAAAGGCTACTAAGACTAAAAATTTCAAAAATTAAACCACCCTTAACTAAAAAACGAAT